CGATGGGATAATCGCTTTTCAGATTAATCGTTGATCTTATCACATGTAAATCGCTGCTGCTGCCACCAGGCAACTACAACCCAGCTGCATCCCAGGTCCCAGCCATGCTTATCTGGCCGCTTTTCCAAAACAGCAAGCTCCCATTTTTAGAAACTGCCCAGCTAAGTGTGGCTGGGACCAAGAATGTAGCTGGGTTGCAATCTGTGTGATAACATCAGTGATTACTCTGAAAAAAAGTGATTGTATCCCGTTGGTGACAAGTCACTTTTTTTGTAGTGCAATAATCTCCTATGTGCCAACTAAATGACTTGAAGGCACACAACAACAATCAATCAATCAACCACAAAATAGCCCTACAAAAGACACTAATCTACTAGTTCTAAAGATGTGTCAATAATTTGGATGGGAATAACATAGTGGGATTGGAGATTCCTAACTAACCCCCATCTTAATGTTAACAACCCTCCATTAAAACTATTGCACCAATCATTGTCCTTCATACCTACTTGCCCTCTCTACTCACTCTGTCAAACTCAGGCAAAGATAATTTAATTCATTTAAGCCAGGGACAGGCAACCTTGTTGAGACCTGGGCCGGTCTCCCTGCTGCCATGCGCGCTGCCGCCATGGGCACTACCGCGGCCGCCGCCATAACGTGCGCGGCCAGAGCTGCCACGGCGCATGCCGCAGCCGCCATTTTGGTAGTCCAAATCACGGCCGCGACGCGTTTGCGCATGTGCAAGAGTACTGCGCATGCGCAAACGCATCACAGCCGCCATTTTGACTTCCAAAATGGCGGCTGCAGCGAGCACGGCCGAAAACACGCCCCAGTGGTAGCGCGCGGCAGTGGCGACCGCGGCGGCGCGCGGCGGCAGCGGCAACCTTCGGCTTGGGCCGGTAAGTCCGGGGCCCGGGGCCTTAACCAGCCCCCGGGCCGTAGGTTGCCGGTCCCTGATTTAAGCAATCAGACAATAAGGCTGATAGTTCAGCTCATTCTTTCACTTTAGCCCAAAATTATAACAATAGCATGATTTAAGTAGTCTAGGCTAGTACAAGTAGCAGGATTTGCTCAGTAGTAGCACTCACTATAGAATTCACTTCTGCCAGATCCTTCATTATGTTCCTGCATCTTTCAGGTATCAGTTAAAAACATAACTATTTAAATTTTAAAATATGTGTACAGTTTATTTGTCCATTTAAATTGATGTGTGTTTTAATTGATGTATGTGTTAATTGTTGTTGTCCCCCGCCTTGATCCATGGGGAGAGGCAAGTAAGAAATATATATTATTGTAAGGTTTCAGAGAATAGGTGATATTTTAATTTGTCCTGGACCACTACTGTATTATTATTGCTGTCTTTCAGCAAATATTGATAATTTATTATTTCAGATATTTTTAAAGATAGATATGCACAATTTGTGTTTTAAGATGTGATTTTAGTTATTTGTACTTTGTGGCTTTAACTGCGTAATGTTGTTTAGTTCTTGTGAAACTGCTTACGAAGAAAGCTGGGGTACAACAAATCAAAGAAACCAACATTTTTTAAACAATCACAAATTACCAGTAAAGCAAGACCTGAGTCTGAAAAAGAAAATGTTTTTGCTCTGTATATGTGTGAAAGAAACAGATGATTATGCTTTAAAAGGGGGAAAGGGTAATGTCCTGGATCTTTCTACTGTTCTCTATAAATGTTGGAATATATTTGCATTCTCCTGTCTCTCCTTATAAAGATAGAAACTTCTCTCTTGCTTTCTCATTCTTTCTATCACTCTTGGAGACAGTTTAACAGCTCTCTCCCAAGATTCTAAACTACTTCAAGCAGTCAGTTGTCCCATCTTCCTGCTATCTAAAAGATAGTGAGATTTATTTCTCTTTACCCAAACCATCACCAGTTAGATTAGGTTTAAGTTATTTTATGTAAATATTTATTAAAGCCATTATTGTTTTTTTTTTAAACTACAAACTGCATGTTTGTCGTCATTTTTCTGAGTAAGGGCCGATGCAGACAGCCTGTAAGGGGCAGCTCTGTGTCGCCTCTAGGAGCAGTGGATCAGGGCCGCAGCAACCACACGCCGTGGCCCTGATCCTCCTTTTTGCCGTCCCCCAAAGAGCAGGCAAATGCTGCTTCTTTTTGGGGCGGCAAAAAGCAGCCCTTAGAGCCACCATGACGGCTCTTTTGCGCCCCTTTGGCTCAGTGTGTGCACACGCTGCGCCAATGGGACGCCTTGACACTGCGCACCGTATGGTCGGGCGCGCGGCGTCAGGGCAGCCGGCGTGCGGTTGTCCCACCCCAACTCCACCCCAAGGCCGGCCTAAAGTGCCAGTCTGCATCAGCCCTAAGTCTTTATTCTTTAGGAAGACAGATTTAAAATAATAGTCTGTCCTACACTACTGTTGTTCTGTTAATGAAAGCTAGACTCTTAACAAATTCAACTTTCATACATGCATATTTTTTTGATTCCTTTAAAAGGGTTAATACCCTGGGAAACTAAAGGGCCTTTGCAGACTGCCAGAAATAGTGCACATTAAATTGAGGCACTGCCCTGGCTCAATGCTAGGGAGTCATGGGAATTGTATTTTTTTCTGGGACATTGAGCCTTCTCTGTCAGAGAGCTCTGGTGCCACAATAAACTACAGTTCCCATGATTCCCTAGCACTGAGCCAGGGCAGTGCCTCAATTTAATGTGCACTATTTCTGGCAGTCTGCAAAGGCCTGCACCCCATAATAAGCAAAGGCCATTTTTACTTTTTCAAGAAAAACAAAATATATGGCCTCAAAACCTACTAGGAAATATTGTATCAAAACAAAATTATACTTGGCCAGTCATCAGAATGTAAATCTCCATAACTGTATCTGCAAGTGCAATAGTAGCACCTAGTGGTCGTAATATCCTGAACATGTAGAGGGCATCATGCCATCAATTCCTTTCTTTCAGAGAAATGACAAACAAGATTGGGACTGGTGGGGGAATATTTTTCCCCAGTGTACCTCTGCCTTATATTGCCCAATATGTTGTATTGCCATTTTTATTGCTGCTGTTGTTGAGAAATAAAAGTAAATATGTGAAGTTGAAGGCTTACAGGTAAACAGTAAAAGTAAGTAAAGTTTCCAATAGATGGGCATTTCTGGGAGAATGAGACTGAAAAGAATAACTCCAGGCCTATGATTCCCAGAATCTCTCAACTGCAGGAAGTGATAGACCTTTTAAAAAGTTATTTTTCCAAGGCTTGCAGCTGATATTCTGACTCTTTCCTAATACTTCCAGGTAGGATTGTCAGAGGAAAAACTCGAATGGTCTTACGGATGGTTTAGTGGTTTTAGTGTTGGACTAGGACTCTGGAGACAAGGGTTCAAATCCCAGCTGGACATGGGTCCCTATTGAGATGAAAATAGATTGTAAATTTCCTGGACTTTGCAAATTTCCCTATAGCCACAGGGCCAGAAGGAGGAGGATCCTGCCTACAAAAGATATCCTCCCACCATATACTATATTAACTAAAGACTGAAACAACATGTAGGCATCTGACTAACATCTCCAATTGTTTTCCTCCTCTTTGGTTTGTAACATCTTGCCTGATGAAGAAGCCCATGGAGCTTCGAAACCTTGCAACCAGTATATCGTGCATTTTGGTTGGCCAATAAAAGTATCACTGATGGATTTTTGGGTGACCTTGGGCAAGTCACACTCTCTTGGCCTCAGGGGAAGTGGATGGCAAACCTCCTCTGGACAAATCTTGCCAAGAAAGCTCCAGGAAAGGGTTGCCTTAGGGTCGCCATAAGTCAGAAATGACTTGAAGACCCACGACAACAATGTTTTGAGAGCCAGTGTGGTGCAAAATTATTTGAACATTGGGCTATGACTCAGGAGATGAGGGTTTGAAATCCTGTCAACCATGGAAACCCACTGGGTGACCTTGGGCAAGTGACACTTTCTCAGCCTCAGAGGAACCGATGGCAAATCCTCTCTGAAGAAACTTGCCAAGAAAACCCCAAAGTCGGAAAGGTCTTTAATGTAAACAACACACACACATATAGATGAGAGAAAATTCCTTCTTCTCTGCAACCATTAAAGGCATAGAAGCCTTCTCCAATCTTCACTTTGGCAACTGTAGTTTCACAGCAGGGGTAGGCAACCTTTCCCTTTTAAGGGCCGAGGGACTTCAGCTCCCAGAATCCCAGGAGCTGTTGGCCAACATGGGACTATTGGCCAACATGGCTGAGGCTTCTGGGAGCTGAAGTCCCTCGGCCCTTAAAGGGGAAAGGTTGCCTACCCGTTTCACAGGATGCCCCAAGGTGAGTGAAGTGGAGAAATATGAGTGTATCTACACTGAAGGAATAATGCAGTTTGATACCCCTTTAACTGCCATGGCTTCATCCTACAGACTCCTGGGATTTGTAGTTCTGTGAGGCACCAGCGCTCTTGGGCACAGAAGGCTATAGATCAGTGGTTCCCAAACTTTGGTTCTCCAGGTGTTCTGGACTTCAGCTCCCAGAATTCCTGCTGTCCAGGCTGGCTAAGGCTTCTGGGAGTTGGAGTCCAAAAAACACCTGGAGTACCAAAGTTTGTGAATCGCGGCTACAGACCATGTGACACTACACATCCCAAGATTTCCACAGGATGGAGCCACAGCACTCGAAGCGGTGCCAAAGTGAAGTTATTTTTACCGTGTAGACGGACTCTATACCAACACAACCCTAACATTCCCCACTTTAGCGCCGTCAAAGGCCGCTTGGAAAGCAAATCTCGCCATGGGCGGGATTTCCCAAGCTATCGCGATGTTTGGGCGGGAGAGAGAGAGAGAG